TCTTCGGGTATCCGATGGCTGCGGGCCGCCCAGGGTGTCCTCAAAGCCAGAGACAGTCACTTTCAAGTTGGCCTCTTTCAATGCCCTGTCTCTGTTGGATACCTCTGTATCTTCGCACGCGGCCGGCCTACATGGTGCTACAGGCCGGGTCAAGCTCCTTTGCGAGACACTTGCTGCTCATGATATCTCCTTGGCAGGCTTCCAAGAATGCCGCACATTCAAAAGCTCCATGACCTGCATGGGCTACCGACGCTTTGCCTCAGGCCGTGACGACAATGCCTGTTATGGTGTGGAACTTTGGGTTGCTGAAAAGGGAATATTCAACGCCCAGGCTGTTACGGTTCTTCATACTGAACCTACGCTTCTGTTGGCCAGTCTCCCCTTTCGGGGCTCCCGGCTTTGTGTGCTTGTCGCCCATGGACCGCATAGAGTTCACTCCGAGGCCTTTCGACAGGCCTGGTGGGAGAGAGTCTCCTGTCTCTGCTCTGCACACGCGCGCGATGCCCATTGGATAGTCCTGGCTGATGGCAACTGTCGTGTGGGAAGCCACGTCTCTCGGAGTATTGGGTCCCATCAAGCCGACGTGGAGGACCTAACTGGGGGTCTTTTTCGGCTCCTTCTTGAGGACCTGGAGTGTTGGATACCCGCCACCTTTGCGATGTCAGCCCATGGCGATGGTGGCACCTTGTACCAGAAGCGCAATGGAGAATTTGTGCGTTCGGACTACATCGCGGTCCCTCAAGGTTGGGTGTACTCTGAGTGTGCTGCCTGGGTGGAGCCCACAATTTCTGCTGGCCACCGGTGTTTGGATCACTTTGCGGTTGTTGTGGCTTGCTCCGTTTGCTTTCAGGACACCTTTCGGACACGAGCTCGTGCACAGCGTATTGACGGCCATGCCGTGCTCGACCCCAACAACTTCGAGACCATTGACCATATATTGGCTACGGCCCCTGTCCTACCTTGGGACATGGATGCCAGTGAGCAAGTAGCGCATGTCGTGGACCACGTATATCGAGGACTAGCTTCTGCATTCCCGCAGCAAAGGCGACGTATGCGAGGTCAGCAGTTTTCGGAGGATACACAGCGTCTCCACCAGCTAGTTAGTGGGCTGCGACATTCTGTCCGCACCAGGTATGGTGCTATCCGGGACACCCTCAAAAGATGTGCTTTCCTCGCCTGGCGTAACCAGCAAGCACTGCTGAGTGTGTACCGGGGCCGGTGGCTTTGGCGGCTCCGCATACGTCATGCGCTGGATTGTGTCCTTCTGCGCAGACATGGTGCACAGCTCAGATCCAGCTGCAAAGCCGATCGTGCTGCTTGCCTGAGCAGTCTGGCACAACAAATTGCGGATTCACCCTGTGGGGAGCTTCATCGGGCCGTGCGCAAGGTCATGCGACCAAAGAAATTCCGCCGGCAGGGTCCTCTTCCTTTGCCGATGCTTCGCACCCAGGATGGCACGATCTGCTCTTCCCAAGAGGAAGCTACCCGTGTCTGGCGTGAGCACTTTCGTGTGCTGGAGGCAGGCGTGGAGGTCTCCCCCCTCGAGCTGGCGGAATCCTGCCGTGCCCGCCAGCTCTCCTCTGAAGGCACTGACCAGGTGAACATCCGTCACCTGCCCACTTGGGCTCACCTACATGACGCTTTTCGTCATGCTTCCCCTCACAAAGCATCTGGCCCCGATTTGCTCCCCCCGGCGCTCTGCCGAGTTTTCAGTCAGCGTCTTACTGAGCTGTTTTGGCCTGTCATGATGAAAGCAGTCCTGCGAGCCAACGAGGCAGTTGGACTAAAAGGAGGTGTTCTTCATCGCATTGCTAAGCCTAATGCAGTGAATAACACGACAGCTGGCTTCCGGGGCATCCTCGTGCAATCCTGTCTGTCTAAGGTTCTGCATAGAGCTGTCCGACACTTAGCGGTCGACCACTGGCGGGATCACGCACAGCCGATGCAGATTGGCGGTCGACAAGGATGTCCTGCTGACTTCGGCCAGTTCTGCTCTCGAGCTTACCTGGCTTACGCAAAGGCTCATAACCGCTCAGCCGCTATCCTCTTCGTTGACATCTCAGCCGCCTATTATGGAGTCATCCGTGAGGCGGTGCTCGGGGCTCAGGGACAAAGTCGGCCAGTTGACGCGCTGGCGTCGTCTTTAGGTCTCTCCCAGGAAGACCTCCAACGTCTGCAACAGTACATCGATGACGAGCCTGTCTTGCGATTGCAGAATGCCACTGACGTCTTCTCTGAGGTTGCGAATGAACTTCACAGAAGCACATGGTTCCTGCTGTCTGGTGACACCCAGCTTGTAGAAACCTTCCGAGGTACCAGGCCCGGGGGTTCTCTTGCCGACATTGTTTTTAACATCTTGTTCAGCAAGGTGCTTGATAGGCGTGACAGATCAGCCTTTCAACAGCATGTCCCCGCCGTGCCTTGGTCAGGAGTTAGATCTCCATGGCAGGCTCCAACCGAGGACGCCGCAAGCTGCCGCCTTACTGAAGTAAGTGATGTCATTTATGCAGACGACCTGGCTAGTTTTCTGGGCTGCGATCGGGCAGCCGAACTGCCGCGCGCACTGTCTTGTGCAGCCGCCGAGACCGTGGACACGCTCCTACCCCATGGGCTCAAAGCCAATGTAGGCCCCACCAAAACCGCCGCTGTCGTCGCCCCAGTCGGCCCCGGTTCGCGTGCCGTGCGAGGTGACCTTTATGGTGTTCGACAGGGCAAGATCCCGGTTATCCCTGAAAACCGAGGCAGCTTCCTTCTAGATCTTGTGCCTGACTACAAGCACCTAGGTTCCTACATCTCCCATAGTGGGTGCATGCTTAAGGAGATACGCCATCGGCTTGCTGCTGGCCGTTCTGCACTTAAAGAAGGCAAACAACGCTTGTTTGCATGCCGACAGATCCCGTTGGCAAGACGCGTTTCTATCTTTAAGGCACATGTCCTTTCAGCCGTGCTTTCGGGAGTCGGAACCTGGCCTGCTCTCAATGGTCAGGAGGCCACTTTGTTTACCGGCGGCTTGATCAGCATGTACCGGCAGTTGCTGTGCTTGCGGGTTGAAGGCGGCTTCAGCTGCACCTCTACCCAGATTCTTGATAGAGTTGGACTTCTTCCCCCTTTGGCACTCTTGCACCTTGCCAGGCTCCGCTTCTTGGGGCAACTCGTCCGGAGCGGTCCTGACCCGGCATGGGCTCTTCTCTGCCACTTCTCAGCCTTTCTCCAGGCTCTACGGGAGGCCTCAGATTGGTTGCTTGCTGCCGTTGGCTCTGTTTGCCCCCTGGGTGATATTGTCACGGATTGGACCCACTGGACTCACCTTCTCCACGATTCTCCTGGCCGCTTCCGTGGCATTTTGAAGCGGGCGGAAGCTTGGCACCTTCTCCGCGTCTCTCTTTTGGCCAACTTGGAGACTTTCGGGCGAGAGCACTGGGCCGCCGCAGCAGCTGCTCCTGCCACACCTCTGGAGGAATGTGAGCACGCCTGTATCCCGTGTAAGTTGGCTTTCCACACTCGCCAACAGTGGGGGGCACACGCCCACAGGGTTCATGCATATCACTCTCGAGCCCATCGTATTGCCAAAGGCCGTACCTGTGGTGCCTGTGGTCTTCAGGTAGCTTCCTTAGGCCGCCTGCGTACCCATCTGCGCCTCAGCCCTGCTTGTGTTTGTCGGTTGGAGCAGGCTGTTGCCGACGGCACTTTTGTCCCTGATCTGTCTGTGGCGCATGAGCTTGCCCCAGCTGTACCAGGCATTGGCAAAGGTGCTTTGGGACCCATTGAGCCTGAGGTTCTTCCGGAGCTTATGGAAGAGCTGTCTCACTTACCGCTTACGGAGGCCGTCACAGACGAGGATGTGTTTGCAGTGGTCGTGCGGCACTTTGCACCACTCCCGGTGCTCCGCCACACCCTGTCTGCCTGGTGTCAATGCCTCCCCGCGGGAGCTCTTCGCTCGGTTACCGAGGATGTTCTGCTTGTTTTGCATCCTGTGCACTTCTGCACAAAGATTTCTGGCAAACAGGTCTGTTCTAGCCCGGCTGATACGGATTTTGCCCCTCAGGTTACTGTGCCGCGACTGGTCTCGCCTGTGCCTTCTCTTCCCTTGATGTCTTGTGGTCCGCTGTCTCCTTCATGGGCCTATGCATTCGGCATCTCGCACCTCGAAGTCCTGTCGCTCGGTCTGGACGAGGTGCCACGCTGGGACTGGCGCTCGGCCTCCGCGGCCTGTGTTTCTTTCGCCCCGCTGCCCGCGGGTATACCTTCAGCGTTCTCTCCTCCGTCCTGCAGCCTCAGGGCTATGCGTCAGCTGCTTGCTTGGATTCGCAGCTTCCTTGCAGCACTCGGCCCGCCCCTGAAGCTTGCCCATGCTGGGCGCCCCGTCTGCTTGCGGTTCCCCTTCTCGCCCAGGGCCTTCGAGCCACTTTCCGGCTGGCTGCTCAGCATGACGAGCACGGAGTCGATCGAGAACGCCTGCTCTCCCTGTCTCACCCTTGAATTCATTTGTTTTTGTTTGCATTAGGCACGTCTTTCGGACTTTACGCCTGTGTGAAAGAAAGAAAAAGGCCCCTACATTGCGGCTTTCGGGCTCTTGTGTTGGGCTGTCGGGAGCGATTTCGAAGTGCAGGTACAAGCCAGCAGATACTCAGAGGGATTTCTGCAGCCCTAAGCCAGACTCTCAGACCCTGAACTCGGGAAGTTCCGAGAAGGCCGAAGCCTAGGTTTGCCGACCTGGCGTGGGATTGCGCATGGTCCCGGCTCAGTTTTGGATTCCGAACTAGCTGCCGTCGAAAACCGGCGAGGTCATGCCTAAGACACCAGGCATCCAACCCACCCCCAAACTCACACCCTTGGCCTAGACCCAGAAACTCCAAGCTTCCTGCGACGCACACAGCCTTTATGAGCACCAACCACCAGCCGATATACTAGATACTAAACGCGTGGGTGAGTTTGAGTCATTAGCTCGAACCGATTTCATTTTCGCTTCTGACACCTTTGTATGCTGCCATTGGGAAGCCATGCTGGCTCGTGTCCGTTCCAGACTTGGCTGGAAACACTGCTGTAAGCTTGGACTTCGTGGGAGCCTCCGCATGCAAAAAGAAGATTCATTTACAGCATTGCAGGTGGTGTAGCAGAATACGCATGTTGACGAAAGCGGTGATACCCGCTTTGAATGGACTAACCCTACCCCCTGAAAGCCTTAGAGGGCAATCTGCAAACACATATGCTGGCCGTTGCTCGTAGTCTCCGTAATTATTGACTACAACTGTTTGTTATGCGAAAGATGTTTATTGTAGGATCCCTAAACCCTATACCATAAACCGGATCCGTAGGACTGCTTTCTTGAGCATTGAGGGAATAGCCTTCCGAGCTGTCGGTCGGTCTTGCGTTCGTGCTTGTGCGGCTGCAGTTCATGTTTCAGTCGGAGACCCAAAAGCGTCCTATGCACCTATATAGCAGAATGTAAGGTTTCTTTGTTATGTCTTACGATTCGAGTTCGATTATTATGATTTAGGGAGGTATCCCCCAAAACAGTACATCACACCTTTTGGGAGAGGGAGAGGGGGGAGCGAGAGACCGCAAAAAGAGAGCCGAATGCTAAGCCCAAATCTAAGGAACACGGCAGTGTCCGAGTCGACGTTCAGCCTTCTGCAGCAGATCCGCAGGACATCTGCTAAAGATGACGTCTGGTTGCTCCTTTATAAGAATCCTGCTTCTTTTTGGAACATGGAAGAAATGCAGAGGATTGTTTAAACTCATACATGTTCAATTCTGGGTCTAAAGGGCTTAATTATGGATGTTCGGTAGGCAATACAATACAAAGAACCCCGAATGCAGAGGAGTCGTGAGGAACCTGATCTTAATTCTTCAGGCTGCTATATCATTCAATCCCGTTCTTCGCTATGAGGCCTCAGCCGAGAGCGAAGGCCTGTGTGTTCGGGTTACGAGGTGTTTCCATAAGCACGATTGGCTGGCAGATGTTCTCTGAAGGGTACTGCGGGCGCAGGGTCCGCTTCAGTGTCATCCTTTTCATCCAGATCGCGCGTCTCTTGCAGGGCTGGAGGTTTGCTTCGAGAGCCCACATAAAGGCAGAGTTGGGTGGTGGGGCCAGCGCTAACCTTGATGACTGACCTTCTACCCCGGCAACGCGCAATGCGGAGCAACGAAGGCAGGTGTGTCTTTCCTGCGGAGCCTTCCCCAAGCTTCGGGCTTTCCTTCCGTGGCTTTGGATGTTTACTGTGAAACTGTGAAATGTCAGGATATCAAGTGGGTTTAGACTTCAGACAACACTGTTGCTGAGGGGCCTGCCTGATTCGCGTTCTAGCTCGGTTGATGTGGTTGGGGACCCTGGCCCTCTCGTGGTCGCCGGTTGTCGCGGAGCCTTTTTTTCAGTGCCTATATTCACTGTGAAATGTGAAAGCCAGAACTCTTCTCTACACCCTTACCTACAGTCTCCGTTGTAGTTCCGTTTTGGGGGGGTACCTTTTAAAATCCTTAATATATAATTGGGTAAACCCCAAAAAAGGAACTACCAGGGAGACTACAGGTAAATGCGAAACCATCTGCAGGACACCTGGCAGTGAGGAGGAGGGAAGTCTCCAATCAGTGGCCGGCAGCGTCCTTCGCGTCACCCTGCCGGGTCCAGTCTATGTAGGCCAAGGACGGTTCGACGGCTTGGACAATGCAGTTTCGCGCGAAAGCAGTTAAGGCTTAGAGATTAGAGTGTGGAACTTCGGACAGAAAGAGGTTGAGGTTTCCGAAATGCGGGGGTTTGCGGCTAAAAGGCCTGCGCAGGACTTGTGAGGATTCAGGGGTTTCGGAAATGAGTTGTGTCGATTCCGGGAGTCTCTAAATTGTTGGGTTCAGGCTCTGTGGTTGACGGATGCTGACGGTATGGCGACTGCTTGTTATTGAGCGGCTGTATTCCTTGGGCTTGGGATCTGTCAGTCCCGGGCTTTATATGGGGGTTTCCGAAATTTCGGAACCCTAGCCCAATATAGTACCCTAAACAGTAGGATCCTTATTATCAGGGCCCCAAAATAAGGTACAACCCTTTTGTCGGAAAGTCCCATATTGCGCATGAGGATTAGCCGGGGGTACACATCCCATCCTGTGGAATCCATAGGCTCTTCTGGTGGAATCCTCGAGTCTTAACCCCGTCCTACTAAAGCCTTCAATCCTTCAGGGTAGAATACATAGGAACCTCAGAAGCAACCCGGGGTCTGTATTAGGGCTCTTTCTATAAAACCCCCACTATAATGGGGGTTATAGGCTATAGGACATCATTTTCGTAATCAGGATCGAACACTCGGGCTAAGCCTTAAATGAGGGTAAGCTGGAGCAGGGCTTAGGACAAGACCATAAAGCGCAAGCCGTAAACTCTTGAGCCGAAATCAACATAAAAGCCCTCCAGGATGTTTTGGACAGGACATGAACTCCAAAGCCCCATAGGTTTTTAGAGGTTAGGGTTTAGCCCGAATTATTGAAAGCGAAAGATCCTGGTCCGGCAACCCTTGAAAACATTTCAAGCCTGCATAAAACCGTATGGAACCTTTATGGACACCTCACAAAAAGGCATCCTAAAACCCCGACGCCTAGACTGTGCAAACACGAAGCAATAAACACAATAAGAGAGGACCCAAATAGAAATCCAGTTTTTACGTTAATACAACCTTAATACTTACACTTTGCTGTCACCCAGAACAAGCCGTTAATACAGCCCAACAAACACATGAATGAAACAAACAAAATATCTAATGTGGGGCAATGCTTTCGGAAATCTAAACGTTTAGAAATTACATCAGCTTCGCTTTGCTTTATTATTGATCGTTTTTCGTCATTAGCCGTTGATGTTTTTTACAGTCCCGTTTATCTGTACAGGATTTGTATAATATTTATTGTTGGACTGGGATTCACTTCTCATAGAAGTATTTTTCTCATAATTTTCTCATCTTTTACTGGGACTACTGCATGGTTGTCATATTTGGTCTGGGGAAACCCCTGCAATCCCTACAGCAAAGCTCCTTATCAAACCGTAAAAGAATCATAAACCCTCTAGTTAATCCATTATCAAGCCCTAACACAGCCCCTGACGAAACCGTGTATCACAAACCTTTAATCCAAATCACTTGTCAAACCCGAGTAAAACAACTTGTTTAACACCAGATAAAAACAGAACACCTTACCAAACCAGCATAAAACCCAAGTAACCCTAATGAGCTCTTCATTGAGCCTAGCCCTAAACCCTAAGTAACACTCAATACGGTTGATGATATAAATCCTGCATGACCCATATAAAGGACTATACCATAGTTCCCATAGTTTAGGGTCCGTAAGGTAATGCAGGAGTTATATCATCAACCGTAGAACCTTGAAGGACTGAGAAAGTATCTACGAATAGGGGTATTTAATAGAGGGTAGATGGAGGGTCTAGGTAGCACTCAATAGAACCTTGGCGCGAGGACTGAGAGTCCGAGAAGATCCTGCTGTCGTCCTCCGCTTCGACAAGGCCGGGGTGGTGGCGGCTCTGCGACTCGGCAAACGAGGTGTGCCTGTTCCCGAAGGGTCCATGTACCCAAATAGTATATACTTTGGCCTTGAAGTAGTTCCTATTTGGGGTACTTTGGGGTCCAATGTGTATACTATATGAGCACATGGGCCCTGAGGAGTTGGATTCTTTGAAATACACGGCTGGGTTGGGTTATGGGTCTGGGGAGCGGTCTTTTGGGTTTACAGCGTCCGTGAGTCTGTGAGGGTCTTATCGGGCTGATGTTGCTGTGCTTGCTTCTTTGTTGTTGATGGTTTGGCAGTGGTTTATGAAGCAATTTATAGAAATTTATAGGGTTTCGAGACTATTACGAGGCTGTACTGAAGTTTTACGTTTTTACGTTTCTGTTGGGCATTTGCAAGGGATGTTGGGTTCCCAAGGTAGCTCCAAGGATTCCCATCTGCAGCACTTGGGGACCAGAGCCCCTGCCCTGTCAGGCTGTTGGGGCTGCTTCTTTGGCTGGCGATGTAGAGCTTGCTGTAAGCCCTCCAACCCTAAACCTCTGAACCCTAAACCCTAAAAGCCTAAACCTTAAGAGCCCTCCAACCCTAAACCTCAAAACCCTAAACCCCAAAACCCTAAAGCCCTAAACCCTAAAACCCTCAATTCCTAAACCCTAAATACCCCTAAACCCTCAAACCCTAAAGAGCCCTAAAACCCTAAAACCCTAAAGAGCCCTAAAACCCTAAAACCCTCAAGCCCTAAACCCTAAAGCCCTAAACCCCAAAAAACCTTAAAACCCTAAACCCCTAAAGCCCTATTCCTAAACCCTGAAACGAAAGAAAATTCAAACCTCAAACCCCTAAAGTCCTAAAACCATAAAACCCTATCCCTAAGCCCCTAACCCCAAAGCCCTCCAACCCTAAACCCTAAAGCCCCAAAACCCTAAAACCCTCAAACCCTAAACCCTAAACCCCAAAACCCCAAAGCCCCTAAACCCTCCAAACCTTAAAGTCCTTAAGCCCTAAACCAGGCTGGCATCTGGCTCGCAGAACCCGCGGCCGGGCGATGCCGTGGCGCTGCCTGGCAGAAAGTCCGAGCTTGCAAGCGGCATGCTACGCTGCTTCCATAAAGGGCTCCTAGAGTTTAGGGTTCAGGGTTTATAAGGGTGTTGATAGGGATTTATAAGGGTTAAGGGTTCCTAGAGTTTAGGGTTTAGGGTCTATAAGGGTTTATGAAGGTTTAGGGTTTCGGGTTTCATAAAGGGTTTCTAGAGGGGTCCTTTGAGGACTACTTTAAGGGTAAGGGTTTAGAGTTTAGGATGTAGGGTTTATACGGGTTTAGGGGTTCGGCTTTAATAAAGGGTTCCTCAAGTGTAGGGTTTAGGGTTTATAAGGGTTTAGGGTTTCGGTTTTAATAAAGGGTTCCTAAAGTTTATAAAAAGGGTTTAGGGTTTCGGTTGAAAAAAAGGGTTCCTAGATGGGGTCCTTTGACGGCTACTTTAAGGGTTCTTATAGGCATCCTCTCAGGGGTTCTATAATCAGGGATTCGAGGTTTAGGATTCAGGGGTTTTCATCCGGGTACGGCTGTTAAGGTTCAGGCTCTTCGGGTTTGGGGGTTGATGGCTAAGGGAAATTACTTGCTGTGGCTTTCGTTTACGTATAGTCTGTTTTCTGGGAGCCCTACCACAGCACCCCTGTGCGACTGTGCCCCCACAAGCAGTAAGAGATCTTTCTTCGAGAGGTCTCAGTGGTACGTGTTTATGCTCAAAGGCAAAATAAAGCTCCCAAGGCTTGTCCCCAGCCTACTGTAATGTCTATATTGACTTGTCCTGGGGCTGCACTGTTGAGGCAGGCGGTTTTGGTTCCCATAGCTCAGCCCAAAGCTCCAGTTCATGACAATGTCTAGCAGGGTAGCCTCAACTAGCATCTGTCCTCTTACATCAGCCCGATCCAGTCGCAATAGTTAGGCTGTGCCCAAAAAGCATTTTTCAGCCATCGACGCTCCATGTAGAAACCTGGACGAAGCAAGCCTTGTAGGGTTTTAGCATTATTTGCTTAACTCTTCGGTCCCCGAAACATTGCCTTCTAAATCCTGAAACCCGACAGCTTGAAACTACGACACAGTGAAGGCCAGCATCTTATAAGGGGACAGTCTTAGGGCCTTGCAAAGGCATACCCTAAGGGTCCATGTAGCCAAATAGATATACATAGGCCCCAAAGTACCCAAATAGGGACTACATTAAGGCCAAAGTATATCTATTTGGATACATGGACCCTTAGGGTTCTCCAAGCCCGTGTAGTCTCCTTCACATTGCAGGCATGCGCGGTTTAGGCAACCTTAAAGCCCTGGCAAGGGCAACTCTAAACTCGGTATGCTTGAACCCGAATATACATACGCCAATTAAAACTACTCTGTTTGTTCCATTGAAAAACTACATAAATCCTCGTAGAAGCCCGATAGATTATGCAGATGCCTCTTCCAAAACTACCGTACGTGGAGCCTTCAGGAAAGCCAAAGCTGTCTTGAACAACCCTTCTTTAAATCTTCAGAACCCCCATTAAAACCTAGTCACCTCGCGTACTGCTGGGAGGCCCAGGGGCTCGTTTGCTCTGACGCCTCGAGAATGGCCAGCAGCGGTGACGTATGCGAGCGTCGGTGAAATTCTGAGCACGGATGGAAGACCCAGTGAGCTCCCTGACTCTGACCCGGTTTACCCAAGGGGTCTTAGTACCAATAGGTCTTAGTACCAATATATAGTAGGTATGTATATATATATATGTATATATACACATGTATGTATAGTATGTATATATATATATATAGAGAGATTTATTTATAATGGGCGTTTTGGGTTCACAATTATGCATTATTGGTATAAGGAACCGCCAAAACCTTATTCTAATTATAAAGTCCCCTACATTACTGTGCCATGGTGTCCTTTGTCCCCGTGGGTATTCTCCACGACCGGAAGATGGTTGTTGGGTTTAGGGTTTAGGGGTCAGGGTATTATGCCGTTTTCTTGGTTGCGAGGATCCCAAGTATGTGGGTGATTATGGATGAGCAGGCAATTAGATCTTTTTGGGGCCAGTTCTTCCTACAAGATCCATCTCTGTGCGATGATCGCTTCAACTGCATCGCTGCCTAGAGCAACCTCCCACATGCGACACGTTCCCGGCAGCCTAGCCTAGACCCACCAAAGCTTCTTAAGAACCCTCCCACAAATTCAACAGGTCTATTTCGTTCTTATAGGTACGTACACACTTCTACACATGCAGCAGCAACAGTTTTGTTGTTGGTTCTTGAAGCCCCTACCTCAGAAGGACCCCCGTTGCCGAAGCATACTCCTAGAACCGCAAACCTTCGACCCCCGACCCAGAAAGCTGCACCCGACATACTTTCAAGAGGCTTCAAGCCTGAGGATCTTCTGTCGCTCCCTTGAATCGAAACTGTCTCATCTGGATCCTTTGTGCGGCCGTCGCCTTTCAAGAAGAAGCTGGGGTGCTCTAATGCCACACCGAGGAGTCTTCTGAAGCTGCCGCCGAATCCGGCAGTGCCCCGGCGGCGGCTCATCCGCCAGCGGTTGCCCAGTGGTCTCGCCGCAGCAGTGCTTGGGCCTTTTTATCGCCGCCACACACATCTTTTCCGACATCTTTTCATGGCCAGAAAGGGATCAGAACCAGCGTCAGGGGGCAGTCGGTGTAGCAAGGCTGCACATAGACACAGAATCGAGTCGATGTGGTTCAAAGTGCAGACAGCAACATGGCGAATGAATCGGAAGATCAGGCAGAACGCACACAGGAGGGAGGAGGAGGAGGAGGAGGAGGGAGAGACAGAGAGACACAGAGAGAGAGAGAGAGAGAGAGCGATGGCATCAGCAGCAACAGCGCAAGCAGGATCAGCAGCGGGGGCAGCTGTCGTCATAATCGCTGTCCGCCTCCGTCCGCCAGCATCACGCAACCACCAGCTCCGTAATCACCACCATCACCACGCCTAGTCACCAGATGCCACCTCCATCGCTGCCATCAACATCGTCATCGCTGGGTCTGTGTGCTTTTCCGTCATCGGCGGGTTTATCGGCAACGTGCATCCTCAGAGTCATTGCCAGCACCACCAAAGTCAATACCATCACCAGCAGCACCATCGCCAACACCAGCATAGTCATGCTGAGTGTTGTTGTTTTGTTTAGGCTTCTGGGACCCTACACCGTGCCCTAAAACTTAAGCTCTGAAGCCTCAGAAAGCCCTAAACCCTTGAGCCAAAACCAAACCGTAAGGCTGTTGTTGCTTCTCAGGTCTCTTGTTTCTACAGCCTAAGGCTTGAGGACATTCATGTGTCGATGGCTAATGTGCTGTCGTAGCCGTAGCCTAAGAGCGTCGTCGTACCAGGAACCCTCGCCAAGGCATGTTGCTGAAACAGCCTTAAACCTTTGACGCCCCAAAACAATCCCAATTAAACACCTAAACACCTGCCAAAAGCGTCCACAACCATCCTGAAATCCCAGCTCGAAGCTTTATGCAAAGGAGCTCCTGCTGCCCCTGGGCCAGGGCCACCGCATAGGTTTCGTGGGGCCGCCAGGCACCGGCAAGAGCGCGGCTCTGCTCCTCGGGAATGTGTTAGTATAAACTAACCCTAAGGGTCCATGTATCCAAATAGATACACTTTGGCCTTAATGTAGTCCCTATTTGAGTACTTTGGGGCCTATGTATATCTATGTGGCTACATGGACCCTTAGGGTAAGGTCCCTTTTTTGGGTCACCAACATAGTACGGCCCCTTTTTCAGAAGGAAGGACCACTTTTCTTCAAAGTATTACGTAAAGGCTAATTAGTAGCATTATGAAGGCCACCATAAGACCCGTAAGGGTACTATAAACGGTGCCTACTACCAGTGGACCAGCGCCGTATAACCAAGCTATATTTCACGCGTATTATGACGGTCACGATAGGGGGGGATGATTCTCTTTACGCCTGAACGTAAGAACCCCATAGTGACCATAGTGTTGCCACATTGTTTGGGGACGAATTTGGTTACCCAACACATGAAACTATAACGGAGTCCATAGGTTTATATTCGGGTTACTGACGAAGCAGCCGCATGTGTTGTTCCGTTTTTTGCTTGTTGTGGCTGAAATCATGTGCTTCCGGGTTATAAGGGGTATCGAGAGTCTTGTTGTTTCGAGAAAATATCCCCTACCTATAGTCTCCATTGTATTTCCTTTTGGGGGCTACTTCTTAAGATCCTTAACATAAGCTTCGTTAAACTTAAGCCAAAAAAAAGAACTACAATGGAGACTATAGGTAATCCCTTAACCAGTCTGAGGCGGATGCTTGTGGCCTCGCAGTCCGCGGACACCGCCGTCGTTTACGCCGCTGTTCGCTCGCAAGATCGCTTGCGCTCCGAGTTCGAGGTCTGATGGGTACTGTAGGCTTCGATTCTTTGGTTTAAGATTTAGGGTTTCGGCTCTAGGCGATATAAGCTTTTACATATGTTAATAAAAACTTAGTTAGAGTTTAGGCTTGAGGCTTTTGGATTTAAGGTTTCATTGATGTTGTTGCCCGAAGGAGTTTGCTTTGAGAAAGATATGTGTTGAAGTAAACTAAATCACAGTACATATTCCTTGCGAAGTTGTGCATGGTTGTTGTCCTCTCAGTATATACTCTCCTGCTTGAGACCTCAAGGGACCCAAGGAAGCCGAAAAAACAAACAAAAATGATGGTAAGTACCCTACGTTGGGGGCTTTAAGGTCTAGGGTGTGGGGTTGAGGGTCGGACTATCCTAATCCCAACCTCACTTATCATTCCTTAACCCCCTAAATCCCTAAACCCTAAACCCCCAAACCCTTTAAACCCTAAACCCCTGAACCCCTAAACCCTAAACCCTTAAACCCTAAACCCCTAAACCTAAACCCCTATAAACCTTAAACCCTTGAGCCCTTAACTGCCTGACAGGCCCTGGGCCTGAAGGATCGCGACGCCCCGGCCGTCATCCTTTCTGCAGACCCGCGCGCGGCAGCGGCCGAGCGCGGCTGGGCCCAAACTTGCTGGAAAGCCACGGTTTGTATATAGGGTTTAGGCTTTAGGGTTTAGGGTTTAAGGGTGTTTCTGTTGTAGGGTCTCCCTTCATACGTTTAATTCCTGATTTGAGTACCTTGTTGTTGTTTCTGTTAGCCTACAGAGTGAGTCACTATTCAGACATAAGATGACAAAAGGCAGGGCTTAAGACTGTCAAGATTTTTCAGGGGCTTGGGGTTCAGGGTCGAGGACTGAGGTTGCGGGTCCAGGGTTTGAAAGATAAAAGGTTCAGGGCTTAGGGTTTTGGGGGTTTTGGGATTTGCGGATTTTGGAGTGTATGGGTTTAGGGTTTAGGGATGTAGCCTTTGAGGTTTAGGGTTAGTGGGCTCGGGACGCAAAGAGGTGATACTTCCCGCACTGCTCATGCAGACCAGGCCGCCATATTTCGGCGAAGCCAATCCGAACACTCCGCCTTCGGTCGCGGTTCAGGGTTTAGGGTGTAGGGCGAGTGAAGCCTGCTGCAAAAAGGGTGTAGGGTTTAGGGTTTAGGGTTGGTATGGGACCCTCCGGCTCCCGAAGTAAAGCCGTCCAATGCATTCAACCTCGAGTTTACTTCTGCCGACAACTCAAGCGTTTAGGCCATGAGGGTAAAGCGAGATGCTCTGGGACCCCTGTTTTTGTGGCGGATTGCAGAGATGGTGCCGCCTCCATGGTGCTTGCAGCACCCCAGGGCACCCCATCAACACGCTATAAGCATTCACTCATAATTCCCAGAAAGCTCCATAAACCTTCCTGTGAAAAAGAGACCCTAAACCCTAAACCGCTTCTGATGCCTTGAGACGGTGGTCCTCTTTTGCTGGTTTTGCCATTTTTTGTATAGGGACGCCGGCCTGAGAGGTGCACCGGCCAGGTTTGGTTTAGGGTTTAGGGGTTTAGGGTTTAGGGTTTAGAGGTTTAGAGTTCAGGGTTTGGGCTTTCTGAGTTGGGGGCGAGGTTGATTCATCGTGTTCTGTCGGTTTTCCTGGACATCCTTTCCCCCCAGCCCTGTAGCTTCTCAACCGTTGTCGGATTGCCCAACATTTTTGGCCGCCGAAGCGACGCAAACCCGACAGGCTACTTCCTGGTTCTTTCTGCCCTGCGGCTGGCGAGCAGCTTGCGGAAGTCCCATCGACATGTGCTGCTGGCAGTGGATGACTGCATGAACTTTGCAGAGGACCCGGGGTGTAGGAAAGTTGGAATCGGCACAACCCGAGCCAACTTCCCGGTTCTAGTAGCAACGGCACCGTTTATGTTAGGGTTTAGGGTTTATGGTTTATGGCGTCAGTCTTCATTTCAGGAAAACAGAGTTCGTATCAGGGTTGACAGATTGCAACTGGGCTTTCGCCAGAGGAAGGAAGTCTCATCTACGACTCCGGTACAAAACACCATCAAACTCCCTACACTGAAAGGCTATAGTTCAGGGTTTGGGGAACACTGACGCCGGAAGCACACACACACACACATGGTCCTACCTCTAGAAGCCTTCAAAACCTCAATTCGTTCTTTCTCTCCCTGGCGCATGCGATGTCGCCCTGTTAGGCCGCCGGGGAACTTAATGGAGTCCCTCCAGTGCCACCGGCACAGGCCCCTGTGAGTGCCTGGGGACCGATGTCCCATGTAGAAGCTAGGTTTTACCATTGCTCCCTTGGCAGCCAATGTATATGAACGGTTTAAGGTTTGGGGTTAGGGTTTTGGGTTTAGGGATGTGTAGGAAGTAGGCTTAGGGCCACTTATCTTTCCTCCTGCCATCAAAACACTTTGACCAGTCTTGCTCCCTTCAAGTATAGGGCGAGGGCTGCAACTTGAAAGACGTTCCTAGGGTCCGCTATAACCATCGTAATGTCGACAGCATGTTGGTTGTAGGGTCTCGGCATGTCGGCATGTCCAGCGTTTCGGGGGTCTGCAGCACCCGGATAAAGGCTGAAGATTGATTGCCCAAAGCCCTGACAATTCATGTTTGAGCCCAAACCTATAAGCTTCGAAGTCTTTAGGTCTGTGAGAAAGCGCGACACTGCTAAGCTTCTGAGAACCCGACCCAGTAGGATTCCACGCGCAAGCCCAACAGATCCATATCCTTCGGTTTTCGAGCCTGGTGGCTTCTAAACCTGTATTGTGTTTAGGGTTTAGGGTTTAGGGATTGTTTTAGGTGGTACTTTTTAACAATCAAACATAGTAGTTCCTACGGTAGAAACCATACATTCGACTATATAGGTACTTGGCGAAGGCTTCTGAGCAGGGACGCTGTAGGGTTTGGACGTTAAGTGTTGGTGCTTGGTTCTGCGGGCTTTTAAAGATTGTCTAGGGTCTAGACCGCATATTCTGGATGACCCTTTGATAGCCCCCACCCCATCGAAACACCGAAGCGCCTAAACGCTAAAACCTCAGTTCAATCTAGACAAGAGCCCTAAGGCAAAACCAAAACGCTTGAAGGTTGTGGCCGCCATGCTCGACACAGGGGGAAGCTTCGAAGAAATGGGTGCTGAGCATGCCCTCTCCGTGACTTGTCCTCGGGGTTGTTAGATTGTAGGTTCTTTCGTTCCTTTTAATGATTTAGGGGTTAAAGGGTTTGGTTGGGTTTTAGTTCCGAGTTTCGAGGTGTCATACCGTGTGCCCGATGCATATAATCATTCCTGCGGCAGCCCGTAACCGGAACCCCTCATAAGCACCTGTATCAGGGAACTCTTCAACTCCTCGTTTTGGAGCAACCCACAGGTTTTCATAGGGAGGATGTGTATTTAGGGTTTAGGGTCTAGGGTCTAGGGTCCGGGCAGTCATGCAGCATACTCGCCAAGTTCTGACATGTGCCCAGTCGCAGAGCTTTGAATGGGAGGTCCTGCGGATTCGGCGGGGTTTTTCGGAGTTGAGAACTCAGAGAAGAGAGCGAGTGACTTCTTCTCAACATCGGGAGCCCTGGGACTCCATGTGCCTGTATAGTATATACTTTTAGGGTTTAGGGTTTTGGGTTTAAGGCCTGTAAAAGGGTTCTTAGATCGGTACTGTAAGGGCTGAGTATATACTATATGGGTATATGAACCCTCAGCAAACCCTATAAAGCCTAAAAATCCCTGGCATGTCCGAATTGCAAGGCCATGACCCTAACTGAGGCTCTAAAGGAGTCATATTTTTAGGCTTCTGGGCCCAAAGACCAAAATAAAGGCTTTTGGGCTATTTTGAGCCTTAGGCCCTGACCCAAACCCCGAATTGAGGGAAACTGCCGGTGGGGAGTTTAGGGTATGTAGGGCTTCTATAAGGCTTCTAAAAGGTATATAGACCGTCTATACGGCTCCTATGACGGTAACTACCCGCCTGAAGATGTCCTAGACCTAAGGCCTTTAAGGCCCTCGCTCCGAGCAGACCCCTGAAGAACCCTAGTATCCTTACCTCGTTACCAATCCCAAAGGACCCACCTTTCTAGGGCTCCTTATCAAGATGTCCGTATATAACTCCTTAAAGGGGTAGGTTCTCTTTTCCAGGTGTACCCTATAATTTTGAACCCTGAACCCCAAGCCCTGAAAAAGGTGGCTGTCGGGTTGGATCTGGTGCCAGAGGACGAACTGCCGTCGACCGCACGCGAGGCGGCGGATCAGACAGGGGTTTCTGCCTGCTGTCGCTTTCGGCTTAGGCTTTAGAGTTTAGGGCTTTAGGGCTTTATGGGGGTTTAAGGTTTTAGGGTGTAGGGTTTTAGGGTTTAGAGCTTAGAGTTTAAAGTTTTCGGCTTTCGGGTTTAAGTTTAGGGCTTATGGACTCCAGATGATTGCAAGCCGTGATCTGACTCCACTTGAGTCCAGTAGTACACAGGGCTTGTTGACCCCGTGCTCGTCCTGTTTGCAGACTTCAGGCACCCCCTAAACCCTAGACCCTGGAAAAAAACCCTAACCCTAAACCCTAAACCCTAATGTAGGCGGTATGGTTCAATATAGTTGGAGTCCCTGCCTCTCTTTGGCCTTTGAACTCGCTGTGCCGATACTTCATTACATGTTTGCGATTGCGGTTCTACCCGTAGTCTCCAGCGTGGTTCCTGCTTCGGTTCTGGTTAGGACATACCTCTCGCCCCAAAGTCTACAAAATACTGTTTATAATATAAATCTTGCATTACCTTAAGGACCCTAAATTATGGGAATTAATAGTACATTGCTTATTATGGGTGATGCAGATTTATATCATCAACGTATGACCCCTTAGTTGTCGAATGGCCACGTCCAATGTAGTACTTTTCGGGTTGGAATAAGAGCGACATATTCCATAGCATTCTTGAAGGCGTTGGATGGTCCAAGGTCTTGATGTCCAAGAACCCCCCCTCAGAAAGATGCCTCGTTGCTAGCATTCAGCCTGTGTTTATTTTTCCCTGTTGGAGCCAAAAGGCGTGGTTTCAAGTTAGGGTGTGCATATGCAAAGAGGGCTGTTTGTGCATGCTTTTTCCAGGCACCTTTTGCTTGCTGACCTGAGTGCTATGGTACGTAGCGCTCAGACATTGGGTGCATGTTTGACGGATTTAGGGTTTAGGGTTTAGGGGGTCCTATAGAAAATGATGGAAATCAACTTTACTTCATATGACCCTAAATCCTAAATCCTAAACCACTAGCCCTAAACCCTATACCCTGAGTAGCAGGTATGGAGAGGGGCTGAGCCCTCACTGGACGTTTGTCTGAGCTTCAGCGGAAAGCTGGCGGCACAAGGGGTGCCTCGGAAATGAGTTGTAAGTTCGTGGCTTGAGGGGTTCAGGGTTTAGGGTTTAGGGTACGACCCTCAAGGCACCAACCCCTTTAAGTTCGTGACTTGAGGGTTTTGGGATATGTCCTTCCTTCGCCTTCTTCTGAGGAGCTTCAAACTACAGATAGTACTTGCAAGACCACAAAGGGCCGTAGAAGCCCCTTAGGACCTTACAAAGTACATATATCAGAACCCTTGTAAACCCCAATACCTGGAGCAGCCTGAGAACCCTAAATCCCAAACCCATACCCTGTTAACCTGGTGCAAATGGAACGAAGCTCAATTACTTCGTCAGTACATGGAGCAAACAGCTCCAGCTGCAACCGGAGGGGTGCACAAAACCGCCTGAGATCGCTGACTCGCCGAGACCGTAGGCTTGAAACCTCTTGTGCACCAAAGAGTGCTAGCCACACATTACCCTAACCTCCCAGGTACCTACTATATAGGGCCCTAAGGGCTCTAGTACCCTATATAGTAGGTACCTGGGAGGTTAGGGTTAGCTTGCTGAGGCCTGATATGCTTCCTAGTCTTTATCACCTGCTCGTTTTTTTCCTCGCATTCCAAGCCTTGGCCACATACTTGTCGAACTCCTACCCGGCATAAACCTTGTACCCTGTGCGCTTTGCCCAGCTGCCTTATTTTAGCTTATTTGGGTGATAGAGTTTCTGCCCTAAACCCTAAACCCTAAACCCTTATAAACCCTAAATTTGACCTCTTTGTTTTTGCCGTGTTTAGTTCTAGGCAAGGCAAGCAACCTTGTTTCACGCCGACTCGGACCTACGAGTTAGTTGTGAGAACCTAAACCCTGAAACCCGAAGCCCGAAACCCTAAACTCTGAACCCTAAACCCTAAACCCTAAACCTAAACCTAGAACCCTGTGAAGTTTGAGGTGCTGCCGGCCATCGATTTGGATATGTTGCTGAGCTGCTCCGGCTTCCCACCTCTGCGCCTTGACTAGAGTTTAGGGCGGTTTAGGGGTTCAGGGACGGTTGAGGGTTTAGGGACTGGAGTTTAAGGCGGTTTAGGGGGTTAGGGTTTATGGACTAGAGTTTAGGGCTTAGGGGTTTAGGGTTTATGGACCAGAGTTTAGGGCTTAGGGATTAGGTTTCAAGGATTAGGATTATGCAACTATGATGCTGGATAGCTTACAGGGACCTCTTACAATCAAACGGAAATCGGATTTACATCAAAACAAAGTCCGTTGAACATCAAACAAAATTTGTTTAAGTCCACCACCCAAAGAATCGGTTGCAAAATCTAGCGGGAACTGGTCGACAATTCCAAAATCAACAATTACCAGTTGCAGATCAGACGAACACGAACATATGATTTCATATAAGTAAAATCCATGCAAAGGAGAGCCGGGAGTGCAAAGCAACACATAAAACTCGAACTGATATCAGTATACAGTCGGAATGAGATCGAAGGAGATAATAGGATCGAACAAAAATCGAAGTTAAATGAACAATGTGCTTGAACGATTTCGGTTCAGTTCAATGTGTGTTTATGGTTGATTTGATGTTGAATTGCTGTTCTATGATTAAGCTTTACGGATGGTTTTACAGGTCTCCTGTCTTATTGGCGGATCCCAGATCATAAGTTTAGGGTTAGGGCTTCGGGTTCAGGGTTTAGGGCTTAGGGCTCAGGGTTTACGGCTTTGGGTTCAGGGGTTTATAGGGTTTAAGGTTTAAAGTTTACAGTAGACCTTACTCCTTCAAATTTGTGGGGTTTCACGGCTTTTAATCGTTGAGGCTAAGGGTTTAAGAGGGTTCATGGTTTATCTAGCCCAGAACTTTTACAATTTCCTTTATGGTTCTTATAAACGTACCTATTCATAAATACTTTTCAGGGCCCCAAAACTACAACCCAGTTTC